CAGCAGATGACAAACACCCACCTCTCCGCCTCTTCCAAGGAACGAGGGGACCGTGCGGCAGAGTTTCAGTTTCAGTTTGTTTCGCCGGTCAAGATGTCCGTTAAAGTTTAAATCTTCTGGACAAAATTAGAAAAGTGCCGGTCAAAGGTCTTCTTTGTTATTTATTGAGCTTTAAAACAAATGAATAACGACTCTATATAATAAAACACGGAGGACGGAGATCTCTTTTTCTCCCCCTCTTCTGACAGCCCAGCAGCTGATCAGAGCACGTCTCCCCTCTCCTGCAGGGGGGCGTGGTCAGCAGAATCAGACCCGTAGACAGCAAACAGCACATAGAGCGAAATGAGGCATGGCTAAAATGCATGATCTGTTTGGTGTTTTGAAAACAGAAACGTATAAATATACCTTATATAGGTATGGCCCTACAATATATCATTTAAATATAGCATGATAGGTGTCCTTTAAGTGGTGTTCTGACTTCATAACATAATTATCAAGTCAACATTTTCATGTGTCCAATACTTTTGTTCTTGACTAAACACATGCAGAACTTATAACCGAGAACGACATTTTTAAAGACTCTTGCATGTTTAAAGTTCTTTTGTGTGTTTTAATGGGAAATATCCTGTAGTTTTTGTAGAATGTTTTTCTAGCCTAGTTGAGTTATTTCTCAGTGATGTGTCTATTCTACTTTCTCCCATAACCTTAAATCAGATGTAACTCACGATCTGTTGGATAGTAGCAGTGTTTCACTATGAAATACTGATCAACACATCTCACACACACACTGACAGGATGTGGGTCTTCCAATGAGGTCACCATCGAGGTCAGTGCAGACATGTCAGTATTGATTATTGACCGATGTTTGGCAGATCAGCTGTTACGTATACTGTATGTACTGTACTACATTTAATGTTAAATAACTGTTAACATTGAGCTTTTCTCTTTGTTTAAAGCACAACAACTCGATTTGAAAGAGATCTTATTAACATGAGGCTGCACAACATGTGACATTTCAATATGGCAAATGTCATTTTTGCAATTAACCACATGGAAACTATTACCTCGCCTCATGATGCAATCACACACTGTCCTGAACATGTCATGTGTTGAGAAGCAGAGACACATGCTCCACTTTAAATGAAAGTTGTTTGCTGTGTTATTTAAATACCGGACGTAAATCATGATAAGTAAAAGTTAAAGGTCCCCTATTATACTGTTTTTCATCAATATATTACAGGTCTCAGATATATCCAGAGCCTGTCTCTGATTGGCTGAAACACCAAACAGATTATTGCAGCATCCCATAATCCCCTCTGTTTCAGCCCTGTTTCCAAAGTGCTGATTCTCTGTCTGTTACTTTAGATGAGAATAAGGAGCCCCTCCCCACGCCCCTCTGAGAGATTTGGTTAAAAAGAACTCATTAGGCGCGTTCACACCAAGTACTTTGCCGTATTTAGTGCCGGCACTAAATACGGCAAAGTACTTGGTGTGAACGCGCCTAATGAGTTCTTTTTAACGGCACTTATACCCCAGGGCATTTTGTACAGATCGCGTTCACACCGGAATAAGTCCCTGAGGGAAGATTACGCAAATGAGCCGCTGACGTCACTTCGTCTTCTTCTGCTTTGGGTTTACTGGCAGGCCGCAAACCACTTCACGGCGTATACTGCCACCCGGAGTCCCCGGCCGGAAGTCCCCGGAGTTGGGGACTTCCGAGTAAATCTCCAGAACGCCGACACCTCCTCATCTCCACCGCTCCCATGTTTTATTTTGTGTTGCCATAAGTTAGTCTCTCTGCGTTTGTGCACTGGGCGAATGCTAATAATGCTAATAATGCTAATGCCAGGATAATAAAATGGCAGCTCTACAAAACATTTCAGAGTTTTACGGGGCGTGGTTTGCAATTCGCCCAGCCAATCAGAACTGGGGCACTTTTTTCCCCCAGGAAAGTACGCTCTCTGAGCTGGCTCTAAAAATGGGGGTAAAAGTTCCCGAGATTAAGTGCTCTTTTTGGTGTGAACGCGACATAAGGGGTACTAACGGAACTAAATGCAAAAAGTACGGTGAAAAGTACTCTGGTGTGAACGCGGCTAATGGTGCTCTAGGAGGAGATTCAGGTGATAAGGTGGGGGGGGGGGTTACCTTGGTTGGTGATTGGCTAATGGTTACACAAGACAAAACATCGTTATGACATCATCAAGTGGCCAAAATCTGATCAGCTCATTTTCAGACAGGTTTTTATATAAATGGATCAGGACAGAAGAGACATGAAGAAGAGGGGACACATGTTGATGTAGAAGAGACATGAAGAAGAGGGGACACATGTTGATGTAGAAGAGACATGAAGAAGAGGGGACACATGTTGATGAAGAAGAGACATGAAGAAGAGGGGACACATGTTGATGAAGAAGAGACATGAAGAAGAGGGGGACACATGCTGATGTAGAAGAGACATGAAGAAGAGGGGACACATGTTGATGTAGAAGAGACATGAAGAAGAGGGGACACATGTTGATGAAGAAGAGACATGAAGAAGAGGGGACACATGTTGATGTAGAAGAGACATGAAGAAGAGGGGACACATGTTGATGTAGAAGAGACATGAAGAAGAGGGGACACATGTTGATGAAGAAGAGACATGAAGAAGAGGGGACACATGTTGATGAAGAAGAGACATGAAGAAGAGGGGACACATGCTGATGTAGAAGAGACATGAAGAAGAGGGGACACATGTTGATGAAGAAGAGACATGAAGAAGAGGGGACACATGCTGATGTAGAAGAGACATGAAGAAGAGGGGACACATGTTGATGTAGAAGAGACATGAAGAAGAGGGGACACATGTTGCTGTAGAATAGACATGAAGAAGAGGGGACACATGCTGATGTAGAAGAGACATGAAGAAGAGGGGACACATGTTGATGAAGAAGAGACATGAAGAAGAGGGGACACATGTTGATGAAGAAGAGACATGAAGAAGAGGGGACACATGTTGATGTAGAAGAGACATGAAGAAGAGGGGACACATGTTGATGTAGAAGAGACATGAAGAAGAGGGGACACATGTTGCTGTAGAAGAGACATGAAGAAGAGGGGACACATGTTGCTGTAGAAGAGACATGAAGAAGAGGGGACACATGTTGATGTAGAAGAGACATGAAGAAGAGGGGACACATGTTGATGTAGAAGAGACATGAAGAAGTGGATTTTGCATAATACAGTACAGTTGTACGGAAAGTCATTTCTATGAGAGCAGGCTGCAGTGAAGTGCTATGAGCGAACGTTTCATCACATCTATTTGACTGGATGTCAGAAATATTGGAATCCACCTTAAGCAGAACCTCTCATCCCCTCTTGTGTCTAAATCCATTTGTCTTCCTGTAGGTTTGAACTAAAACTCAACCTCTCTCCATTGTTTTGTCCCGAGAGCTGAACATTATCCACTTCTTCCCTCTGAAGGCTCGACCCGCATAACACGGCTGCCTCCATTTCGTTAACTCTCTGAACATTTGGACAGAAAGAAAACACAACCCTTCAAATTGAATCCCAGCCTCTCAGCAGATTTGAACTTAAACTCGAGCTGATTGTGTTATTTCCTGAGTCCTAACACACTGCTCTGTTTGTCTGTAGATTTGATTGTAAACTCTGCCAAATGTAATTTCCCCCTCTGTGTAAAACCTTGGCTTAATTCCATTCCCGCAGAGTTCAGCGTTCACTAACTCAATTTCCTCTCTCTGAATCTGCCGTTAGAGCCATATCTATTTGTTGGAGCCATAATGAATCTTAATAATTGGTGGATACATCTATAAAGAAAACAGGATTATATCTAAATATGTGTTTGGTTAAATGGTTGTGTTTCACACCAACCGTGCATGCAGCCTGTTGCAGTTGCTCCTGCTACAACTTTTAGCGTTCTTATTCGATCTTACTTGTTGTTTTTCTATAAGTAACTTCTATATAGTTTATTAAGCTGTGCCCTCTCTAAACTTTCTTGTAGAGAGAGATTGTGTTGCAGCAACACAACGGCTGCCTTGTTTACACCAGGGAGAAGCTAATAGCACTACATACTGTAAATCCTGCACTGTTTTTACAAGACTTCAACCTGCATTCACCTCTGCACACTTATGTAAATATATTTAACAAGCTCATTCAAATGCACAACGTTCTACTGTGATATCTTGTTTCAACAGTTACTTTATCACTTTATTTAAAAAACACCCTGTGTGAATCCTGTTTTTTTAATCTGACCCTGTTGCTGCTATAAACGCCTGAATCTCCCCAAGGGGATAAATAAAGTTCCATCTTATCTTGTCTTAAAGCCGGCCAGAATAGCGGTCGTAACAACGGCTAAATACAGATAAACCGAAGGGACAAAGGAGGAGAGCTGGATCCAGATTTATGGAGAAAAGGAAATATAAGTCGTGTCTTAGCCCCTCTCATCGCGGGATAAGAGCACTGGCTAATCATGGACGAGCTAATGGCGTTAGCTATGAGTCAGACAGAATACCTGGAGTTTAATGTGCTTTACTGAAATGTGGCAGGACCAGAAAATATCTGACAACAAAGTTTCCATCAATGCATCCGGACAGTTTGGGTCAATAAGGATTGCATCAAAACAATCAACACTTTAAAAAAAAACATACTGCTTTGACAAGAATGTATGCTTTTACTGTTTCAGCTTCTTTGTCGAAAGCTAGAATATATTCAATACAGATAAATGTATAAAAAATTCTACAATTAATTATTTGTCATGTCTTACAAACACTTGGACATTCAAATACACACCATGTCTTCATGACATATATCTATCAATTACGTTTTGTTATTGGAGAGTCCATTTAAAAGTCAACATCCATACCGTTTTTGACTTGAGACTGGCGGTTCCTTTCTGTTTTTAAATGTGCGTTTTGTCAATCCCCCCCCAACAGTGGATTATTGGAAGGATTGGAAGCCATTTTAAATTGAACTAATTCCATTCCTGTCTTGTTGTTCTTTAGATCCGTCTCTACGCTCGACCCGATGCCATTTCCAGCGGCTCCGGCGACTACGCTCTGCACATCACCAAGAGGCTTCTGGGATTTTACCAGGACTACTTCAAAGTTCAGTACTCCCTGCCCAAGCTAGGTAAGGCTGTCTTCTTCTTCTGACGCTAACTGGTTCCTGTTCCTGGGATATGTCACTTCCTGTCAGTGTTAGAAAAACATCACTCGTCCCCGGCTTGAGCTTCAATCTCAGGATCCATGTATTTGTGATCCTCTCCAGAATGGAAGTAGTCATCACATACAGAGCATCAAGTAGTTCCTGAACAGTGTCCTTCACATGCTGATATCCAAGAGAGGGAGTTACACAGTCACAAGATGGAGGAATAGAAAGCAGTATTCAATGTTTACTTCAGATTAGCTCCACGTCAGAAATGAGCATGCTTGTCATATGTCTATCTCCATAGAGGCTGAATCATCATGTTAATCACATAGCTATCATATGCCTCAAACAGTCCTGATGCTCTTCTAGGTAATCATACATCCTGTCATGTACACAGCTACAGTTGGGATACCTTTGTTATCATGTTACTCTCATATTGGAAGAGGACATTCAGTGTGTTCCCAACATAATGCTTTACACTTTGAAAGACCAAACTGCTACTACAAAGGAAACATAGGATACTTTATACATAATGGAAGTGTGCAAAGCAGTTGCAGCTGTTTTAAATTAAAATGCGATGAGGAAGAGTAATCAGGCGAGGAAGACTCTTTGAGTCTTTTCTTCCTGTGAGTCTGGGGGGGTACGGCGTGATTAGCTCTGGGAATTGAACCTCCGTTAGTTCCTGTGTTCAGATGTTAAACACCGGGGCTTGTGGGAGCTTCTTAGTTTGATGCAAAGGGATTCTGTAGGATGTGATGGGGAAAGTCAGCGCCAATTGTGTCACATCTCGCTGCTCTGCTTGGTCTCGCTTCTGCTGAAACAATAAGACTTTTGAATGGGTTTGTATGGCAGTAACATCTGGTGTTGGTGCTTTTGACGGGACTGAACTTAGTGTGGATTTGAAGCACTAAAGGTTTTTGAGTTGGTTGTTTAGTTGGAAAATGTTTCCTCTTGGGATTAATAGAGTATATATCTATCCAGTTAGTTAGTTGGTTGGTTGGTTTGTTAGTTATTTAGTTATTTAGTTGGTTGGTTTGTTAGTCAGTTATTTAGTTAGTTGGTTGGTTGGTTGTATCCGAAACAGCTTGAGTATTTTCCAAATAATAGTTTTTTCAGGTGGTATTTTAACAGCAGTAACAGCAAGAAGGTTAAAGAACGTAACCATTGGGGGTTTGAATCAGTGGAAGTCCAGAAGAACAGCATTGAAAGAAGTTTGAAAGATCTTTTAATTATATAATCACAGGAAGTAGTATCTGTTATTTGAATAACTGAAAGCATTGGGAACGACAACAAACATCATGGCAGGTTTTTCCAATCCCTCGCACTTATAATGCAATAATTATGTTTATTATTAGCATTAATTGATATTGTATGAAAAATATAATCGTTTTTAGGGTTGTTCCCGACGAGTTGAGCATCGGAAACTCCTTACATTAACTTCCTGGCGCACTGAGACTCTCTTATTAAAAGTATTTTTGGGGACAAGTATTGAAAACCTCTTGTTCCTGTATTGAAATTGGAGCTTCTGAGTTTCTAAAAAGAGTTGTGGAAAAGTACCTCAGGCAAAAAAAAGAGCTATCTTCAACTTGTGTAGGACAGAAGCCTCCCTTTGGGACGGTTGGAGGATCTTTTATCTGCTCCTATTAGAGTTTATTGTATTTTGTGCAACATTTGGACCATTTCTCCTTCTCTTCTCCTAGTTCTCAAGCTGTTAAAGCTCTCAGGCTCTCAGCAGCAGTTGTGATTGGACGGTTTGTTGCATCCATGTTTTGCTGTTTACCCCCCCGTCTTTGTCTCTCTCGGGTAATGAATCGTGTCAGAGCCGTTTGAATCTCCCCATCCTCTTCCCCCTTCCTCCATAATTGTTTGTGTTTTACACTTCTGTCCTGCCACAATCAATTAGTCGCTTCCCCTTTCCCTCTCCATGCCCAAAACAAGCTAATGTGATATCTGGGGCTCCATATTGAACATGTCAGACTCTTCCCCCCCGTCAACACTCATCCATCACGTTACAGATTCACTTTCACTCAAAGCTTCCTGACCTTTACTGGGATTTTAGCTGCTTTTAAAAGGCAGTTTCTCTGCCAGCTAAAGGTGACGTGACGTCCTGAGGTCCAGAATAAGATCTCAGGGGAAAATACTGGATCTCTGAGATGTCAATTTATCAAGTAGTCAGACATTGTTGGGTTTTAACTCAATTAAAGTGAAGTTTGGACATCTTCCAAAGGTTTTTAGTGGATTTATATGTCTCCTATAATAAGGAGTGATCTTTAAAATGGTCTGTAAATGTGTTACACTGGAGAGGCCTTGTGTCTTACATCATCTTTGGAAAAAAGACACACTTTCTAGAATAGGATAAAAAATACTACATAACGCTCTGAAGTAGAATGCAGCAGGAATTTATTATAGAAAACTCTGATACAAATAACATCTTTATAAATCCCAATTAAAGTGAAGTTTGGGCATCTTCCAAAGGTTTTTAGTGGATTTATAGGTCTATTATAATAAGGAGTAAATGGACTGTACTTATATAACGCTTTATCCAGTCTTTACGACCCCTCAAAGCGCTTTACATACTACATGTCATTCACCCATTCACACCCATTCATACAGAGCAGTACCACTTGCTCTAGGACCTAACCTTCACACACCGTTGGCCATCGGGAGCAACTCAGGGTTAAGTATCTTGCCCAAGGATACATCGACATGTTGACTGCATGGGCTGGGATCAAACCCACAACCTTCTGGTTGAAAGACGACCGCACTCCCTCGCAGCCACAGTCGCCCCATCGGAGTGATCTTTAAAATGGTCTGTAAATGTCTTGTGTCTTACTACATCATTGGAAGAAATACACACTTTCTAGAATAGGATAGAAAATACTACATAACACCATTAGAAAAATAAGATACAAATCTAAAAAACCTTTATAAATCCCCAGGGGAATTGGGACGTCATAACATTTGCTCCATTTTCAGAATAAAACAAATTGAAAAAATGAAATCAAATAAAAGTAATTCATTAAATTAAATAAATATAAAAATTGAAATAATTCAAATTAAAATTGAAAAAATGTCATACAATTTAAATGAAATAAAAATCGAGACAATGAATGTAATAAATCCAGATACCTAGTTAATCCAATAAATTGTCAATTTTTGGGAGAGAGCCATATCTTCCGGTCGGTTCAGGCTGAATTATCTCAAATAACTATTGGATGGATTTCCATTTATTCTGTTCATGATCAGCAGGTGAATTACTTTAGAGATCCTTTGAGTCTCCATTAAGAGCTATCGGCAGGTTTGACCTTTTATGTGAAACTTCTGAACCAGTTGGTTTGGCAGTCATCATCGTCCGTAGATCATTTTCTGTCTAGCACCAGCTAATGGTTTTTTTTTTTATGTGAAAACCATTGGATTTAATGGCATGTAACTTGGTACAAACATTCATTATCCCCCCCAGGAGGAATTTTAAATATAGATGACCTCTTTATCTTTCATTTGGCACCATTTTGAGGCAAGGCAAGTTTATTTATATAGCATTTTCAACACAAGGCAATTCAAAGTGCTTTACAACAATGAAAGACATTAGAAACATTAAAAAGCAAAGATAATAAAACATGAATACATGAATAAAAGTTACAGTACAGTGTGAGATGTGAATAGTTCAATTAAAAGCAGTGGCAAAACAGAAAAGTCTTATAGAGTCGAATAGAATTGTGAGGGATGAACCCCTCTGTAATGGTCTCACATGCAGAGCACACAGTGACATGTGTTCTCTGCTTTTAACCCATCCTAGTACCAGGAGTCTAGTTCTAGGAGAAGTGGGCAGCTATTGTACAGCGCCCGGGGAGCAATGGGAGTGGGGGGGGAAGGGGGTTGTCCGGTGCCTTGCTCAAGGGCACCATGGCAGGGCAGGAGGTGAACTGGGACCTCTCCAAGTAGCAGTCCACACTCCATACTTTAAGTCTGTTCGGGGACTTGAACCCGGCGACCCTACGGCTCACAGTCCAAGCCCCTACTGACTGAGCCACTGCCGGACTTCAGCCTGGATTTAAAATTAGTCAGAGTTGCGGTGGACCTGCAGGTTTCTGGGAGTTTGTTCCAGATATTTGATAATATCTCTAACCAAATTCTCACATTCCTCTACCCCTAGTCTTCCCGTGAAATTATAGTTCTTTATATTCCTTTCATCCTTCTCTTTCAATCATTTTGCATCCCCAGACAACACATTATCCTGTTTTACTGTTACCAGAACCCATCTTTGACCTTTAAACCACTTTTATTTTCATTTCCCAGAATTAGGATATTTAAACCTTGAGCTCCATTTATATGCGTGAGTGTTGGGAAGACAATAGTTTGGACATATTGTCGGATAATTGTTTTTTATCAGTCTTATGCTGCGTTCACACCGGACGCGATGCGATGTTTGGGGGCGGCGCGACTACATGTAAAGTCAATGCAGAGACGCGGACAGACGCGAATTCGCTCCGACAGCGCGCATGAAGCGGTCGATGCGAATTCCGCGGCGCCATTGAAGGGGGGCCGCGACAAACGCTCGAGTTCAATTTTTTCAACTCGAGCGTGAAATTCGCGTGACACCAATAGCCAATCAGCGGTGAGGATCTCAGCCTGACGTTGAACCACAAAACCAAAACATCAGCTGTTAGCACTCAGAGCTCACAGCTCCTCATATCTGTTCAGAAACTAGACAAAAGTTACAAACCACAGACTGCCTGTGTCATGGTGAATACAGTCGCTGCTTTATTTATGTCTGTATAGGCCGTTGTTGTGAGTGTGGACGGTCGGAGCATATACTGCGTTAGCTTAGCCAATCTCCATTTAGAAAACACGCATTTTAAAAGGTGTTTCGCCTGCCGTCTGTCTGCAGACTTGACAAAGCATTAATTCATGGTTTTTACTAACCGGTATCAGTATGTTGTTACTTCGGCATCATTTTGAAACGTGTATTACAATTAAATCAC